TTATAGTGGAAAATACAAGAATAAATGATTTTAGTGCAACAGTAAAAGAAAATAAAACAAAAAGTGTACAAAAATGTTATTAATATTTAGGTATTATGATCTAGATATCAAAAAGGTAATGATATATACTAAATATAATCGTATAATAGAATACAATGTAAAAATAAAGAGGCAAATTAATTTGATCATCATTGAGTTACATGATATAATATTTAATGTTCTTTGTAATACATTTTAATTTTTTTGATCAATAATTAAGTAATTACAAATTTTTTTGATGAAATGTTAACAGTAATCATAAAAGATCAATTTTCATTATCTAAAATTGATGACTTATTGGATACTTTCAGTAAAGCAAAATATTTTACAATTCTCAATTTTACTTGTGGATATTGATATATAGAAGTAAAATCAGAAGACTGAAAGAAAATTGCTTTTACTACTAGTGAAGAGTTATATGAATTTAATGTAATACTCTTTGGACTTACAAATAAATCAGCAATATTCCAATAATTGATGAATAAAATATTTAGATCTTATATCAACAAATTTTTAGTTATTTACCTTGATGATACTAATATATTTTCAGAAACTTTTGAAGAATACTTACAATATTTGAGAATTGTCTTTGATATAATTCAAAAAAGTGAATTAAAACTACATCCTAAAAAGTGTCATTTTGGAAAAACTTCATTAATTTTTCTTGAACATATTGAAAAAGAAGGAATACAACCTGATCCTGCTAAGATCCTAGCAATTTGAAATTTTCCAGTACCAACCAATTTAACAATACTCCAAGAAAGGTAGCACAGCCACCAAGGCTGCTTTTTATCAGCAAAATTATATCAACAGACAGAGTTCTTGAGATCTTTCTCAATCATATAAATGATGTGCTAAATAAATGGGACTAGAGATGGTGCAGCAAGTACATGATGCTTATTTGTCACCTGTTGCAACATGTTGCAACTCCAAAATTTTATAAGCTGCAACTAGTTGCAACTAGGTGATGCTTTATTTGTTACCATGTTACAACAGTTGCCATGCCATCTTTAAATGGAACGCAGTAAAATATCATTCACCATTGTTAGCTCTAGTGCAAGTATCAACTATAGGCAAGTTCAAAATGGTATGGGCAGTTTCAGAGCATGTATATGTGGTTTATGTATGCCTTCGTAACAGAGAATTATCTGGTATTCCTCCCTGATCAACTGTTTCAGATAAACTCTGTATGTTCTCTAACGATCAGACAGCATTATTCACGTATATTGCATTCATTTGTTCGACAATGAGATATCTGGTGAAATTCGAAGGTAACAAGATAGATTGGTTCAAAGCTCATACCGAGAAGAATTTTTGGAATGCTATTGAAGAGGGAATGAAAGAGTGCATGCACAATGTCTGAAAGAGAATTGATTATGATGATGCAAATTGGCATTCCATCAAGGAGTTAGCTGAGACATGTTGGCATTCTTCGAAAGAAAAGTTGAACAGTGATGAATCAGAAGGCGGGGTACACCCTACGGGAAAAGTGCATCCGGAATTTTACATAATTTATACGGGATATTACGTTACGCATACAGTATTTTACAGAATCATACGGAACGATTATCAATGCGTCAGGAATGC